AAAGTACAAGATATTTCCAGAAAGCAGGGGGCGTGACACTAGTCACGTGACCTCGCTGACGCAACAGTATTTAGGTAAAAAACAACCATAAGTGTTATTGTGGACAAAGCACTAAACAATACTACCGGCAGTAACATCCACCCAATGAGGACAACAGAGTGCCAATTTCAAAATAACTATGGTTCCAGTATTGTGTACAATGAGCTCTTTCTAATGGTTATAAACATGTGCGTCGAGTAACTACATGTGGCTTATAAATCTCAAGCTAAGTGTGGCACCTGTCAGGGATTGGAAGAATTTATGTCTTGTTTCAACTGTACTCAGCCAAAGAACTTTGGAACATACATGTAAATAGCAGAGTTAATGTAGGTTTTGTCTAGACATACATCTACGTATATTGTAATTCTCTGGTTCAAGTTTGAGATTGTGAAAGCTCAGATTTATGATTCATGCATCACATGACAACAACACGTAAGTTTAAGATTTTTTCAAAGATTTTTTTTAAAAATAAAGGAATTAAAACTCTGACAACATAAAAATTTGATTTGTAATATACATTATAATTTTAATTTTATTGACATACATTGATAGTAAGTTTGCTGAATTAAATTTTAAAAGTAACTCAGTGACTTGTGCATAAAGGAGTTTTAAGGGGTGCCTATGTCAAAAAAGTTAATATCCTACATATTCTATAAGTATAGCTTGTTTTGATGACAGGTTTTGAATTATTTGGCCTCAGTTTCATTGTTTGATATCACCAAGATCACCTTAACCAGGTATTGGAATTAGTTTAATCACTTATAGCTTAGTTAGAAAGCTGCCTAAGTTGTAGTAGTTTTAGGATATTCTACTCTTTTGTGCATGTTAGTGTTTTTTTGTTCTAAATTGCATATTTGAAATAATTAAAAATTGCTTTATGTACTACCAAAAAAAAAGTCTGATTAAGTTTCACCAAGAATTTGAGAGCAAACTCTTTAAAAAGTGCAAGAACCCATAAGTACCAAATTTCATACTCTTTATGTATACTTTTACTTATTGTTATAAAAGTTACTAAAATGTAAAAATTAAGAACTTATAAGGTTAGATACGAAAACATAAATGGAAGAAAAAATTAACTTATGATAGCATGCCCAAATCACAAGGCATTGTACAAAACATGATTGAATTTTACTTGGTGTGCTGGTAACGTGATCTTTTGTTTACACAAAGCTTTTATGCTACTCTGGTGCAACTGTGAAGGTTTGTTGCATTTACATTTCAGCTTTACACAACTTTTACCTTTATTTATTGCTTCTTGTTGCCTGCTCCATGTGTTTTGTTAATTGAAAGAGGTTAGATAAAGTTGGAGTAGTTGTGTTACATACACCTCATAGAATATTTAACATATTGTTTTCTTTCTATTACATTTAACAATAATATGTTTTCATTACAATATTCTAGTTACTTATTGTACAATTCACGTATTCATTTAATTTTTTCTTTATTATTTTGTATCTTCATAAACATCAGTTTTTGGCTGTACTCTTGGTAATGTTCAACTAGTTGACTCCACACCTAAGCAGTAACATATGCTGTAGTAATTAATGTCAAATGCCATGCTACTCTAAAATTATACTGTTGGATTTTCATTGGTCACAAGATGTTGTTAGGGAGGAATGTGTCAAGCTTTGCTTATACTTAGTTATATGTTGAAGTTACATTGTTCAACTTTACACTGTGACACTACTTTAAGCCAACAAATAGTTTTTATTGTGTTCCATAAGTAAGATTTACTCTATTATTTCTCAGTTGTCACTTTCATTTATAACAGTATTGATTAGAATGTTTCATGTATCTAATTTTAGGATATTTTAATTAGATTTTTTTTTATTATTACCTTCTTATCAAAAAGATTGTTTTACATTGTTAACTTAATATTTGTACTTAAGACTAATCTGAATCTTCTAAGCTGGACAAAACTTTTGAGGTAGTATTGGATTAAGGCCAAAAATATAATAAATAATGAGAGTATCCAATTGATGAAAATGTATTCTAATCTTTATAAGTAAGAAAGTAAGAAATGTATATTTAATTATCAACACTCATTTCCTGGTTTGTTTTTAGTTTTGCTTTAAATATGTAGCTTACTCTGACCAGAAGCTAATAGTAATATCAAATGTGATTTTGTATTTGGGTGGAAAGTTAATTTACTCATAATTTTCTGTAACCTAAATTGTTGCCTTGCATGTTTTTCAATGGTGATTTGTTTTTCAAAAATAGTAAATAACTGTTTTGAGAAACTTATTAGGTAATTATAAGTTAGTTTTGCATCTAGACTTTAATTTGGGTACAGTGTGCTTAGAAAGCTGAGTTAATAGAGCAACACTTGTATCTTTCATAATTGTGTTGATATAGCATTTTTTTAAAACTTAAGTCTAATTTTTCCAGCTTAATTTTGAACTCAGTATAATGGCGCGTGTGTTTCTGTGTGTGTGTGTTTTTATATCTAAAAAGCAGGGATAGAAATAATGATATAGAATTACATTCATTTGAGGGAAAGCTATCAGGAAGATTACATTCCATCATGTAAAGTTACATTTCCCCATACATTTTTTTTTATGTAATTAGTGTAATATGTTCACTTTCATTGGTCAAAAGTAAAGGAATATGGATGGACCATGCATTCCAGGTTGGGAAAGCTGACTAAAAATGTGAAATTCCTCGGGAATGTAATATTTCAATCCTTGAAAAATACACTAAGCTTTTTTTTCTATACCTAAAAAATATGTAGTTTCATTGAATGATAATATCTATTATTGACTTAGCTGGACATTGCTCATAACTGTAACTACAGTTTTAGCTGTTCATGGATTGGAGTTTGAAATACCCTTTGTGAGGTTTTATGCATATATTTCACATATAATGTGTTCTTTTATCAGATCTAATAAATTGTTCTGAATAACCTGTGTTACAAGCAATACTCAACAACAAAAAATTAATAAGCATGCTGAGATAGTCTTGTGTATTTGTACGTGTGTATAACAATGTTGCCATTACATATGAAAGGTTGTCATGGTTCAGGTGATATCATCATCTTTCTTTACAGATTTAAGATAATATAAAGAGAGTTATAAGTAGATGTGTGTTTTATATAAAAAAATTTTCTCTAAAGGTCTACTTGAACGGCTGTGTAATATACTTATGGCAAGTGGTGTTCCTGCTGATATTCTAACAGAGGTAAAACCAGATTTCTTGCAAAAGTTACAACTTACTCCATACTTTCAATTTTTTAAAATAACTGAAATTACAGGTATGCTACATTTGTTAGACTAATTTCAATGGTTATAGATAATAGAAAAAAAGAATTATACTCGTATGTTTGACAAGATATTCTACATCAGTGGACTTGTACCTATTGAATATATGGTCTCTTAGCTTGTTTTAAAAATATTTCCCAATGATAGCAAATGGCACATTTGTGTAGTTAATAGTAGTCATTTTCACTATAGTTCTTTTTTTGTTTGAATGCTTAGACCATAAACACAGTAGCAGAAGTAATACGAGGACATCATGCCAATCAGGAATACTTTGCCACAGTTAGTGCTCCTTCCAGTCCACCTAGGTGATTTGGTTTTGTTTTTTAGCATATTTTATTTCTTAGTAACATATGTAACATTACAGTTGCACTTTAATAAACCCATATGTATAACTTGTAACATAGTACTATAGTAAATTCATTACAAATTCTTAAATGTAAATTAAAAAATATAGCATTGATTCATGTGTGTTTTAATTACCTTTTTAGTAAAAAATAGTTTTGAGTGTACTTACTACTAGAAAGTACACATAATAGAATTTGGTTAATAGTTAGTATTTTATTGTAAGCAAACTGAATAAAAGAATTAATATTTGCACTTTATGAATTAAAAAGCTTTAGAAGGTTTAAAAGTCTCCTATAACTTTTACTTTTTTAATCAATGGTATGATAAACACTTTAATTGATGCTGTATCCTTTTTAGTATAATAGTTTCTACTTGTAAAATAAGTGGTAGCTAGTGTTGAATTTTTAATGAAAACTTACATGTGTATGGCCATAATATCAAAATTAATCATAATTATATAAAGTATTACATTAGAACAATAATTTGTAACTTTGAATTATTTTTAGAATCAAGGTAAAAAAAAGTTTCAGAAGATAATAATCTGCTTTAGTACTTGTAAATATTGGTTTACATTGTTTATCTTCTTTACTGATATTTCAAAAGAAAAGTTGTGACAAATGTGGATAGCTTGTTATGTGTCAGTTGTTTGACCTTAATCCTTTATTCAACAACATTATGACTTTTGAGGTTAACATATTTTGTTAATTACAGGCCAGCTATTGTTGTGCTTCTGATGTCCATGGTTAATGAAAAACAGCAGTTTGTTTTACGCTGTGCAGTTCTGTACTGCTTTCAGTGTTTCTTGTATAAAAATGAACTTGGTCAAGCTCAAATCGTACAAACACTTCTTCCAACCTCAGCTGATGGTAAGTTGTTGTTTTTTGTTAGAGTTAATTGTTTGTGATATCTGTAACAAAATATATTTTTAATTACACTCTTTGTAAAAGCTTATTTGGAATCATTATACCAGAGGATCACAAACAGTGTTTGTTTTATGTAAGCATCTATTGAAAAAAAGCACTCAAGCATAACATGGTTTATATAATTACTATATCAAGAAAGACTTCAGAGTTTTTTGTTATGATATAAAAGCTGTGTTAATAATGTTGTATTCTTCAATTTAAACAGTATGCACGCAAAACATATGAGTTTCAGAAGTCCCATTGGGGAAAAATTTCACTGTTAAGATCATTGAGTAATAACACGTGGACTTAATTGAACTTGATTATCCTTTTTTTTTGTTTTGTATGGTGTTCTCACACCTCCAAATTCTGTTGGAGGTGAGTATCTGGGAGTAGGACTGGCGTCCTAGTTCGGACACCGGGTGAGCACGTTTCGGTGTGATGGGGATTCAAACCCATGGCCCTCAGATTGCGAGTCGAGCACCCTAACCACCTGGCCATGCCCGGCTTTATTATCCTAATAATTTTTAAAAGAAGTAATTAACCAAATATGAAGTAATTGTCAATCTCTAGCTCAATTTCCGGACAAATCAGTGTCTTCACGAAGACTCCATTATTAATGTGTGTGTTATGTTTATGGTAACTTGGTTAATAGAAGGATAAAAAATATATATGTAATTCAAGAAATTGTTATGTGTTATGTAACTTAGTAGTTAACATTTGGTTTAAAAATATGAAATACTTTTGCTTGTTGTTTAACAAATCTCAAATATATTTTGTAAACATATATTATTATATTCTTTCATTGATTGTTCAGGCAGAATATTCATGATGAGTAAACTGGAAAGGACAGCAACTGCCTGTTGTAAAATTGACAGATTTATTTTTTCAAATTAAAATGCAAAATTAAAAAATACATGTGTCAGATATAAAAGACTGTTTAGTGTAGGTAGTATTAATTAATTTATTTAGTGAGTTAATATTTCATAATTGTTTAGTTTTTATTAATAATAAGAGAGTTAAAACCAGACGATTGTTGGAAGTTGTGTTTGTAAGTTATTGATTGCAAGGATACAGAGATTTCTAGAATGTCTCAGTGAGAGATATAAAAATAGCGGCAACCAGAGGAGAGATCAGAGAGCAGGAAGAGAGAAAAAGTAAAGTCACACGAAAGAGAAGATCAGGCAGGGAAAAGTGAAATGTAAAGTCAACCATAGTGGGAGTGAAAAGCACAATAGTTGATATGTTAAAGTGAGATTAACAGTTTTCTGACACCTTAGGAGAATAATTTATCTCATCAAAGGGTATTCTAAAGCAACTGAACCTGCCTGTGTGGACTTTGACAAAACCAGACGATTATTAGGAACTAGGCCTAAATACGAAAAAGCAAACAAATATCAGAAGTTCAGGATACAACTGCGGTAACTTAACAACAGCGTAACTGATTATACACTGATACTGTTGTGATAAAAGAAGAAATGGAATAAGTGAATTATACACTAATAGTGTTTAAGATAAATGCAGAGAAACATAGTTCAGATTGTCAACTGAATTCTAAAGCAATTGAATTGGCCTAAGTGGACTTTCAACAACAAGAAGAGAACTATCTATTATATAAGATACAACTATGATATACATAGTGTAAAAAATATTTTGTACATACGTTTAAATTGTTTTGAGTGTATTATTTTAAAACAAGTGGAGTGAGTGCTGTTCATTTATTGTTGAATTTATTGCCAATAAGTCACAGACACCTACTGTAGAAAAATCTTAAGCCCAACACACACCCAAATATTTACTTACTATATATAATATAAAAAAGTAAGTTTTCTGACAGCAAGTACTTGTCTTTTAGAATAACACTCTTTGATATTAAAAAGTGCTTTGAGTTTGTTATTATGGCAAAGTAGAGAATGTAGTTGAATAATGATTTCATGCTTTTAAACTCTTAAATTGTTGTATTTTAATTTAAAGGTATAATTATTATTCTGTGTGGATAGAATACACTTTGTGCTTATTTTGCAACTCCATGCATAATATTTATTTTAGTGACAACCATAACTGCTGGTCAGTTACTTTGTGGTGGACTGTTTAGCTTAGACTGTTTGTCCAACTGGTTTGCTGCAGTTGCTTTGTCACATTCTCTTGTTGATAATCCAACACAGAAAGAGCAGTTGCTGCGTGTTCAGCTTGCTACAAGTGTCGGAAATCCGCCAATCTCCCTGATGAAACAGTGCACTACTATATTGCAACAGGTGCAGTGTTTGATATTTTTATGTAAATAGAATAGTATGTAATAACAATATTATAAGTATATATTATTCTATTGTATATTAATAAAGTGAGTGTAGAGGTAACTTAAGATTCAAACTGACCTTTCTGCTTGCTTATTAAATGTTCTTATTAGCTGTAGAATACTGAATGTCAGAAATTTCAGTCTTCATTTCTTTAACTTTGTAAGGAGTTTACTTAATCAGCCAAACTTTGAACAGATAATTATCATTTTGAACTCAGAATATGTGTATTACCATGTTGTTGAAGTGTCAAAATCAACTGAACTTAAATTGTGGAAGATAGCACACTATAATGTGTATTTTTGTAATTTTTTCTGAAAATTTAAACAATTGTATTAAGTATCCATAGTGATTCAAAATTATGTAACTTACTTTATACATAAATATTAACAGTACTGTTTTACTTACTGATTTGAGTGTTGAAACTCATCTGATTTGGTGACGTCCAGTATTAAATAAAAGACCTTTTCAGAAGTGCTTTTAATTAATTCACCATACATACTTAAAATAAGTATTAAGACAGTTTAAAGGAAATACTAAAACAGCTTGTAGCCCTATGTGTGATGTTTTATCTACTTTCTAAATACTTTATATATCCCTTTGTTAAATAAATGAATAAAAGTAATTAATTTATCATGAAAAGTGAAACTTCATCGACCTGATTTAGCTTATTTGTAAATAATATTTTGAAGTGTTATTTCCAAATCATTACTAATTTTTGAATGAAGTCAGTTTAGCCATTCTTCAAATAGAATTTCTTTTAATCAGCTATTCTTCAGAAACAAATGCTCCTTGATATTAGAAGTAATCAATAATGAGTAAAATCTTCAATGCACAAATTAAGATTTAAAATTATTTTCCTTGCTGTAACCATAGTCTTATTGCCCTATTCTTCTGCTTCTGATTTAAATTTTATGTGGAAGTTACTTTTGTTCTTAGTGAACACAAAAGTATGTAAATCACCAAAGTTTTTAACTTGTAAAATCACAAATTCATATTCTTATTTTTTGTTTTCAGGAAAATTATGAAATTTTTTCTTTTTCATATTTATCTTTTCTCTTAATGTTTAAAAAAATTATCTTCCATGTTAAACTTTCCCCTCATCTTACTTTGTCATGGTTTGATTGGGCATTCAAATATATCTAGGAACCCATCCATCCCTGTATTTTGAATAATTTTTGGATAAAAAAAAACTAATGAAAATAGCTTTCCATTAGTTTCATTTATCCACAGCATGTAAACAGTTAAAGTGTTTTCAGTTAATAAAGCACACTGAATAAAAGACATTCAGTGCTTTTTTATTGGTGGCAAATTTGGCATCAGTACAGTATGCAATGATAAAAATTGTATTGTTGAATTTTGGTCTTGAATTCCTGTCGACCATTGTTGGATGTATATCTTTATTAACTTATTCAGCAAATAATGTTGTATATTTGAAAGCCTTTTTTTGTTTTTAAACTTTAATGATAACTGATGTTAATTGTAGTAAAGGCTATTTTTTTGTTTTAAAATTTTAATGATGACTGACGTTAACTTTAGTTATTTGACTTCAGAGACAACTATATGAAGTCAAGTTAAACAAACTACTATTCTTTATGCCACACGAGAAACAAACTGCATAAAATTTTATTTATGGCTGAATCAAATTACATACAAAAATTGAAAATAATAATGTGATCTTTATACTAAGTATGCAACTTGAATTGAATAAAAATGGAAATGTGCAAAATATAACAATATTTGAACTAAGTATAACTGATAACAATAAAATATAGATAAGAGAATATGTCTGTCTAGCTGTCTTTCAAATTCATTTTAACAAACTAAATATACTTGAAATTAATGAAAACATTTTCACCACTAATTGGTTCAAGTGTTTTGATGTTCACTTGTTGTTTGGTGAATTACTCATTTTCATTGTACTAATTGTTTTACCTCAGTTTCTTCTGTTTTGGGTAATATAAAGTTACAACCTTGTAAAAAAGTGAGTTTCAAAATATATATTAATAAAGACTTATTTTGACTGTAAGTTTTATTATAAAACTCTCCAATTACTTTTCTCAAAGTAATTTGATTTGCTTTAGTTGTTTAACCTTAAATTAGATTTTTTTTAACTTATATTTTAGACTAAAGATGTTTCTTTTATGCAGGGTGGAAAAGTGCAAACACGACTGGGCTTACTGATGCTATTGAGTACGTGGTTGGCTCACAGCACTCAAGCAGTTTCTCACTTTCTTAGCATACCAACTAACGTTCCTTATGTATCCTTTTTATAATAAGTAGGTAAATGTAAAACTGATAATTTAGTATGTATGTTTGATATATTTCTTAATTCAGTCATTTGATATAGAAGTGAAATTATCTTTACAGATAAATATAGTCAACCAAAATGATACTAAATTTTTTGGTTATTTATAAGTAACTTTTGCATTTCTGTTCAAAAAGTCTTTCTTTTTGGAAACATGAATCATTTAGTTTGTTTGTTTGTTTTTGAATTTTGTACAAAGCTACACGAGGGCTATCTGTGCTAGCCATCCCTAATTTAGCAGTGTAAGACTAGAGGGAAGGCAGCTAGTCATCGCCACCCACCGCCAACTCTTGCGCTACTCTTTTACCAACGAATAATGGGATTGACCATCACATTATAACGCCCCCACGGCTGAAAGGGCGAGCATGTTTGGTATGACGGGGATTCGAACCCGCGACCCTCAGATTGCGAGTCGAGTGCCATAACCACCTGGCCATGCCGGGCCAAATCATTTAGAATTTTGTGTTAAAATGTATTGAGAAAGTACTGTTTCCGATTAAATAATTCTGGAGAAAAAAAATGTCCAAATTTTACATTTTCTGACATATGCATACTTACTATGTAAATATATACTTCACAAAACTTCATTGAATCCAATACCAAAGCTCCATCAACTTTGATGTCACTGGTTGAAAGTGAAAACAGTCAGTCACTAAATCAAATTATATTTAAACATTTCTAAACTTTAAAATAACTTTAAGATTACATAATCATTACATTACTAATGCATTGTTTAGTTTTAATGTCCAACTTGTCTTAACCCCATCTGTTACAATTTCATGTGATTGACAGTAATATAAGGTGAATCTGTTGCATCAGACTTGAGGAAACATAGGAGAGTTAAAGATAATGTTCTAAAGCTGAAATAAATTTTCAATATTGAGCTGAATGTTAAAAATTGTTTACAAAATTTTTCTACGAAATATTTCTGATATTTATATGATAAACATTTTTAAAGTTTCCTTTAATCGGTATTTTATAAAACACGATACAGAACATAAATAATGCACTCTTAGAAGTTTATTCACACATCTGCTTTGGGAAAGTATATGTAGGTTAACTCTTGACTGGTGCTAAACAGGTACTAGTTATTTCAACTTCACATTATTTAATGTAACATTATAAAGTATGTATGATTGAGCCAAGCCACAAGTTGTGCATGTAAAATATTTTTTCTTTTTCATTGACACTTTATAATGGTGATGCTTAGATAAAAAATGTTATACACATAATTCCAAATTCTTCTGTTCTTTTGTGTTAACTCAAACTCACTAATATATATGAAATATATTTATCCTGTGTACTTGCATTCCAAATAAAGATATACAAATAACTTGGACAAACATATAAGATTTCAATATGCTTTTTTAAGTTTATTTTTTCAAAGCTTACAGTTCCAACCATTTGTAATAATGTGTGTATGTAACATCCTTAACTTCATGCTCAGTTAACTTCACAAGTTGGTTTGGCAGAAGGAGATGAACATGAAGACTTGGTTCAGGGACTTTGTGCCTTTTTACTTGGTATTTGCATTGAATTCAATGATGATTCAGTTCCAAGCTTCACAAGGTGAATGAACTTAGTTTTAACATAATACATTATGTGTTTTAAAGTTTGATATATTTTCAAGCATTTTATTAGTGGGAAGAAAAACTGCTAACATAAAAAAGCTGCATTAATCAAAAACTAAATAGCATCATTCCCTCAAAAAACCATATCATAAATTTATAACTCAACAATTGACTATAAAAGTTTTAAATATAGTACCAAGTATTTTGTTAGAATTTTTTTATGCATACACTGCCTTTGGAAATTTAATACTGGTGAATACTTGAGGCTTAATTCAGTTGAATGGGTACTTATTAAACCTTGTTACATATTAACAATGTTTCATATTAAAGATCAATCTAGAATTGTCCAAATAGGGGATTTTGTGTGGTGTTGTGCTATTTATTGTAACCCTATGTCCACTGGTAGGTGTCAAAGTGCACATGCTATGACCTTTTACAGAGTGCCATTCAACATGATATTACATATTTGTTACCCTATATTGCTGATTTACCAACAGTTTGTGGTAGAGGAGAGTAACTACCAGATACAGTATACATGGTTGTTGAAAAAAAAACTGTTGTAGATATGCATTTTGTAGGTTTTAGAGGCTATGTAAATGTAATCTACAAAGTGTACAATGGGAAAAATATTTTAATTTTTCACATTAGAATCACCTGTACTCCAAATTGCCAGGATCAGAGTCAGAGTGATTGTCATCAATTCACAGACACATCCTGAGAACAAATAGTTTTATAACATATTTGATTTTTTATGTACAACAGAAAATGTACATTTTGTAGGTTCTAGAGGCTATGTAAATGTAATCTACAAAGTGTACAATAGGAAAAATATTTTCATTTTTCACATTAGCATCACTTGTACTCCAAATTGCCAGGATCAGAGTCAGAGTGATTGTCATCAATTCACAGACATATCCTGAAAACAAATAGTTTTATAACATATTTGATTTTTTATGCACAACAGAAACAATTCTGTTACTAAAAGCTTGTCACATTTTTTATAAATACACATAGTCAATTCAGAGTTATGCAAATTGGAGTCAGTCCAATAGACATTCAGCTAATAAACTTTTTATAGCCAAATTAATTTTATTTGTACATACTTATTCAAAAAATTTGTTTCACTGATGTACTAAAGGGTGTTGTAAAATAAATCACACTTTTTTCCCCGAGAGCATAACAAAGTATAATAAGATTTTAATTCAATCAAAAAAAGTAATTCCAAGTATCAATATCGCTTGATTGGGCCACCATTGTTCTCATGCTTGAGTTTTAATTGATTTGAAAAATATTTCAGCAATGCAACAACCATGTCTGTTTTTGTGGCTGTCTCTGTGAGCACATCAGTGAGAACATGAATCAAGGTTTCATGTTTGTGTCTCTCGCATTCAGGCAAAGTCTACAACTTTTATTCTGTGCATTGTTGAGCAAATGCTCCCACATTTTCGGCTGGATTTAAATCTGGAGAGTTCCATGTTCCTCCACTTCGTTCTCACGTATTGGACCAATCTTTCAAATTGAACAATTCTGAAACTTTTGAGGCATTAATTGGATTTTTCAAATTTGGCACTTCGATGTGTCGATTGAAAGACTTGAATTCTTGGATCATATCTGCGACTAGTTTCTGAGCCATCCCAAGGGCAGCACGTGCGACACGAACCTGAGTTCTAGTGAGCACCATGATTCAAAAGGTTTTGCAAAAAATTAAATTCGAAAAGTCAAACACCCTAGAGTATGTTGAAATGACTTTTTCTGATGAGTGATGATATTCGCGGTCCAACCACATTCAGGTAAAAAAGTGTCATTTATTTTGCAACACCCCCTAGTCTTCATTTTACAAATAATTGGGGAGTGTGTTGATTCTAAATGTTTCATTGTATTAATGACAACTTGTATTTTCTAACAGAATAAACTTAATATTGTTTTAATTACCTCTGTATTACATTATATTTGCCTTATATGGCTAGTTGTGAAGAAAATCAATTTGGTTACTTTTTAAATGTCTTTTTCAGTTATTAATGTTTTGATAATTTCATCTAATATGATTTAATTTAATATAAATGGTTGTCATTTTTTATATTAAATAAGGGTTCCTGATAAATAACTTTCAGTAAAAATGTTCAAAGACTAGGTGTGATATATTGTAAGCTGTCTTCCATTTATGTTTTCATTCTTGCTTGTTTTGTTTTATCAAATCCATGTTATATTTTAAGTTACATTATTGTACTCATTGGTATTGGTAATTGCTTGTTGAAAACCTCAAATAATGATGATAAATTTATTAAAAGATAAACATATTTCCCTGAAAGAGACTGATAGCTAAGAGGTTTGGTTTATCAACTTTTTATTTTCAGTTTATCCATTGCATACTTTTAAACTAGTTTTCTGTTTAACTTAGGATTTTTTTGTTTATGTTTTATATTTATTCTTAATATATATTAAGAAAACATTATTGATATTTTTTCTTATTTTATTCAGAGAGAACTTATGTCAACTAATACTGAAACGTATTGGTCAAGAAACTTTCTTTGACAAATTAGGCTCTGTATCCAAGCATGAACTTTACAGTCGTGCTGCACAGAAACCTCATCTGAAATATAAACAAGCTAGTGAGGTTCTCTTCGATTATGAATTTTGTCGTCTTTTCAAGTCATTAGAAGGTAAAAGTACTGAGGATTTTTAGTAGAGTCTTGTGCATACACAGTAGGAGGTGGCACTTTGGTACTTGTGGTTTTAACAAATTCAGTTGTCATATTTCATGCATGCTAGAGATCTAATCAAATATTATCCTGTATTTTATATAGATACATACATAACTGATTCTGTTAGATCACAAGGTGTTGTTAACTAGCTGCTTTACATCTAATCTCTAAGCTCAAAATTGGGGTTCCCCACTGGTAAAGCGGTAAGTTTATGAACTTACAATGCTAAAATTCTGAGTTTGGTTCCCTGCAGTGGACACAGCAGATAGCCCAATTTGGCTTTGCTCAAAAACAAATAAACAAGCTTGTGTGTGTATGTGATATTGTGTGTGAATATATGAAACAAACATTTATATTAATGAATGGTGTATAAGTTCTCACTTTTTAGAATTTCCATCACAGTTATATAACATAATACAGGAAATAATGATTTTTATGTTGCGGGCTGTCCCTTACTTTTTTGCAACAGAAAATATTTATTAAGTGTTGTTAATTTAAATACCCAATTTTTTTTATAGTAAAGTGATCAATCATTTCAGAAATAAAAATCACTCAAATATTTACTTAAAACGTTGTCTTTTGGCCTTTCTATGAGCATCTAAATATGTATAGAATTATTCTAATAATTGGATAATATTATCCCTCATTCAGCCTGAAGATTGTTTTTAAAGTTATTAGTTATTCTTATAGAAAAATGCAAAACTTGAGTGCTCAGTAACCAAACTTAAATACTTGAAAGTGTCTTGAAGTTGAGAATGTATTGTTGTATACTGTAATTCCACAAAAGTTGTATTTTAGAACAATCATTTCAATGTAACGTAATTTTCAGAATTTATATATATATATATATATATATATTTTTTTTTTTCAACTCCTGGTTCCTCACAGGTGCAGTCATCAGAGCAGTTCAACCAAAACCTAAAGATTTAGTGAATGGACCAGAATCCAACATGACAGTCCAACAACATAGTTTGTTACAGCAATACAAAGATGTTATTAGAGAACAGGTAAAAATGTGAAGTGATTTATGAACAAGTTATTTTATAATAAACAACTGTCCTTATGTACACTCTGAGGTACAAACTTATACATAAATTATAAGGTGGGCTTGAAACCTTACCAGACCTTTAAGTTTATCTCAAAAAATTAAAGGAATAAAAATGTAAAAAAAAAAGACTTATAGATCATTGCAATTGATCAATTTTAAAGTATATGTTTAACTAAAAAAATTCAGAAATTCTTCTAGTGATGGTATTGTCACTAAATGAAGAATAAGTAAGTCATAAAAACTTGTAAGTTTTGCAGTTACTTGGAGATCATGCATAGAATGAAAAGAATGTGTTATAGATATAGAACAATATTAACTCAATGCAAGAAAATGTAGAAACCTGAAGTAAAATACACTACTCAAACTACCCACTAAGACTTAAAAAAAAAAAAGAAGATAACCATCGAGACAATAACTGTCCTCTGCACACACAAATGTTATCCCCCTCGTGCATCTGCCTATGAGATTTGCATGCAACTAGCCTTGAGGTAACTTCCACCTAAATTCATGTTTAATATGAACTGTACTTGTACATGATGACATCATGTACAAAAGCCCTTCAGTGAAAGGAGGGGGAGACAACCTCCAATCCATGCACAGTAATTCCCCTGATGCACTTGCACTCATGATAACATCATTCTTTTTCCTCTGCATTATATGACACAGATGTGTTTAACTTTCATCTGACTTTAATTTAGTGATATTTGTATTTGTAAAAGAAACTTTAATTTTCATTTTCTTTAGTTTTGTTTCAAAAGTTTTAATTTATATCATGAATTCTTAAGTGACTGTGACTTCTACATAGTCCTGTTTGAGTTAGGTATTACACTACTATAATACCTGGGAATGTTCCAGCTTTTGTTCAGTGTATTGAGGTTTATCACATGCTTACTGGGTCTCCTATTCTTATCCTTTCAGCTGAGGTTCTTTCTCCTCAGTCAAGAATGGCCTATTGGACTACAAATTTAATCTGTTTGCTTTGTGTATCGACTTACCTTTACAATATCTTTCTGAATTTCTCTTTTAGGTATGTTTCTTTCCTTGTCTTTTGCCTGTGTCTTTGCTTGTTATTATGGTTTATGCTGTTTCCTTTGTCAAATCTAAATACCTCGTCCCCCATGCATTCATGACTCTTTTTTATCCTGATTTGTAAACAATCTTCCTTTCCTTTCTAGATTCCCTGCTTGTGGATTGGACCCCTTGCCTTCTACTTTGTTCTCTGGTTCCCTATTTTTGCAATCCTATCTTTTTTCTCATCACCCTCCTCTATTCCCTCTCTTCCCTTAACCTTTTGTCTGATGCAATTCATTGTGCTCTAGAAGGCTTTTTATGTAAAAGTTTGTTCCCTTCTCTTGAGCAGCTTAGTTAGTTCTGTCCTTCCTTACTTTGTTACCCTGCCGTTGGGATTCGTTTGGTCAAGTTGTATTCCTCTTAATTGGCAGACATCTTTGGTGGTGTTCATTATTCACTGGAGACCTAGACTAACATTGTATGACTTCAGTCCTTGTTATCTTCCTGGGATTATTTTCTTACTCGGCCTTTCTGTTTGACTCTTGTTCTTCGTCTGTATCAGTCTATCCCTAACCTTCCTATTCCAGGTTCTAGGCCTTCTTCTTTTTCTCATCCTCCCACTACCAGATCTGGCCCATTTCTCTTTTTGTCAGTGACTTTCCTGTCATGTCTGGCTTGTTGTGTACCCATCTCTTCCTCTTTGCCTGCAGTTGGTCTCATTTTCTGCTGAAAGTTGTTCTTCAGTTTCAACCCACAGTCTCTCTCCTCACTTGTCTTCTCTTTGCTTCTATTCCCATATCCATTTTTCCTCCTTCCATCCCTATCTATGGTGTTTTCACCCAGTCTATGGTTGACCATGGTCAAGGTGTTAGACACCTTCCTACACATCCCTTTTGACCCATCCTCCATATGTTTTCAACATTCTATCCATCAGATTCACATCTTCCAATTTCTTGCACTTTCTTTCAACATTTCTTGCACTTTCCTTTTGTATTGTAAGGGCCTTTGCTCACTATTTACGTGGCCTAGGGCTGTCATTCATTTTCTTGGATGATTGACTTTATTAGCTCATTTTCTGGTAGTATCCTCATCTCACACTCCCTTTATTTTGCAGAAGGATACTCAGTTGGAGTGGCTTGTCAAGTTATCCAAGTCCTGTGTGATGCCCACTCAATAGTTGGTACTTCTGGGCATTTTCTTCATCTTTTGTCACAAACAAGCCCAGTCTTCTACACTTTACCTGCAAGCTCTGGAGTATCTAGTCACCAGGAGTTATGCTTCTCGTTCTTTGTGAGGGACTTTTTTTGCTTTTGGGAAATCTGGCTTCCTTGATACCCCCTCATTCCTTTGGGGCACACACATGCACCTTCTCCAGTGTTCCTTGAAGTTCTAAGGGATTCTTTGTTGGTCTCCATTATCCTTATTTGTGAACCTCTCCTCTCCTCAAGGAACTATCATGGTGATTGTATGATGCCCATACTACTCCTTGCATTTTTCTTACCAACTCCCATACTGGATCTTTCTCCTCACTGATACTTCCTTCTCAAATTGAATGCATCTCTGGATGACTTCTGGCATTTAGATGCAGAATGGGAATTCCCCTTTATGCTTATTGGACATATTCCCTTTTTCCTGCTCCTTCTAACAGATGATTAGGACACGATCCACTCTGACATATCCACAGTTCTTTCTTACATCTACTGCCAAGGGGGGCACCCATTTTAAAACTTTTGAGTATTGGACTTACTGTTCTGGACTCATTCATATTGGGTTCTTATTGTTGCCTGTTATTTGCCTGGAGCTATGTACCTTGTTGCTGACTGCCTTCAACCCACCTTCACCCCCAAGTCTTTCATTGGATTTGCGATCAGTTGGGCACATCTATCAAAGTTTTCAGGGCTGGTTTCACCTTTTTTTTTTATATATGCCTATCTTCGTCTTTCACTCCTCCCTCAAGTTCTCGAATCCTACTGTGGTTCCACATTTGGCTATTGCAGTCTTGGTTTCATCTGTTTCTTCACTTGCATCAAGACCCCTCCCCCCCTTCATGTATCCAATGTCCCTTCACACTTGCTTACACTTCACACATCCCTTTTTCATCAAGGAATGTTATCCCTCCCTCTTCACATGTGGGATTTGGCCAGTCCATTGGATTGGACTCTTCTATCATTTAACATTTTTCTTGTATTATTCCTATTGCTCTTCCACTTTATATGTCTATTGAAAACTGCCACTCCTTTCCTCCCAGCTGTCCTACTGTGTTTCAACTTTCTGCCTTTTTTTGATTGGTTTGTTGGTCTCTGCCATTGCTGGTTATTCAGTTGCATTGTCCAATGCAATTTGACTTTTCCAATACCACTAAATGTTTTCTTCCCCTCTCGTCTCCATCTTACTTGCCCAACTCCCATGTCTGCCTGGGTACTTAACCCTTTCACAATGGGCAGATACAAATTATGTCTGAGGATACATGTACAACAATACATACTGTAACTTTGGGATTTTTGTACGTATTCTTACAAAAACTAGTAAGAATTTGTTAAATATTTTAAGTTTCTTGCACACAAAAAATGACATTATTTTAATTAATAATTTAATTAAAAATATTTTATCTATTTATTATAGTTATTTGCACTCAAACTCTGAATAGTTTCAGTGCAAAGTGATTTACATTTTAAATATAAGATACTTTTCTTCATCTTACAGTTTTCAAATTTCATTTGCATAACCTCTAAATATTTGATTTTCCATTTTCTCTACCATATTACTAACTCTAGTTATTATCATCAACATACAGTAGAATGAAATGTTTACAATTAATTAAGAAATAGAAATATATACATAACTCGTAGTTGAAAAATCTAAAAAATATCTTGTTTGGGTCACATGCATAATTTTATGTCTTTACCTTTTCACTTATAGTTTATTTTTAATGTTTTATTGTCCTTTCCTGTTCTTTAGAGTTTATTATTCATCTCAACACAAGCCAACAGTGCCCTTGGGGTGTATTAGAGTATCTTTGGGAGAGATGCGTAAGCCTTCGGCAAAATTATCTTACATTTGCGCAAGGTCGTAAGCCTTGAGAACTGGGGAAATGTTTCAACTAGCTTTAAAAAATGTTTAAAACTTTCAATTATTCATTTTAAAACAAATAATACATAATTAACTAAGATATAAAAGTAAAACCTAAATGCAATTTAATTGTCTCTCTAACTATAACATATTTAGGTAAGAAACAACTGAAGTGCTATCCTGAACAAAATAGTCAACAATACTACAAGCAGTTAGATCTACCCTATGACAGCTTGGCACCAATTTCAAAATAACCGTTGTTGTATTATAGTATAAAATGAGCTCTTTCT